CACATGAACGCATATCCATATAAATTATACAAGTCGATTCGATAACGGTAACGTTAGAGATTATAGAAGCCATAACAACAACTAAAAAAGCGCACTCCCACAGCGACCCGGACTCATAAGATAAGAGCGTCATAAGCGACGTGGTTTGTGATGAGGATGTGAGGGCTCATGAGCGTCTTATCGGGATCGGTAATTAAGGAGTCTTATTCAGGACTTAAGGGCTCAATAAGGTTGCATAAGGAAGGGTAGCTGCTGTATCTTGTAGCCCCTGAACCCTTAACCCCAGAAGCTCTGAATGACCAGCATCTTCAAGAGGCCAGACAAACATAACATGAGGGTAGTTGTCAAAATTATGGTGCCTTTTGGGGTACCCTAAATACTAGGTGCCGTATTATAACAAGGACCCAAAAAGGGACCATAATTTTGACAACCACCCACATGAAGGCGAAGGTATGAAGAAAGTTCGTGCGCACTCGCTGTAATTATGCACGAGCCATCATGGAATCATATGTCCAGATCTCGCACCACGGAGCCTCCCTCTGAATGCTGATCGCCGGATCTACCCGGAGATTCTAAACCGCCCTAAACCCTAAACCCTAAACCCTTGGTTCTGGAGTCTTGGAGATCTGGGAATCAAGATCTCGCAGCCTGGAAACCGAAGCGCTCTGGTCGCGGGAGCCCTGCAGCTGCACCCCTGAACCCTCCACGCTGGACGCTCCACGAACTTCTGATAATGTAGGAGCCTTAATAATTAGAATAAGGTTTTTGGGGCCCATTATACTACAATCATATCAAAAAAAGCCCGAAAGTGGTATAGGTAATTATTTAGGCCCCCGCATTAGAAGAACAACCCCAGCCCTCCAGGAGCTGCCGCCTATGCTTGGGTCGTTGAGCACGGGATACCGCAAGGCCTGCACAGGACTGGCGGAGTGGCAACTTGCAGAGGCTTTCGGCACGTGAAATAGCAGATAGACATGGCCGATTACAGGAACAGCAATGCCAGTACGATGACATTTGGCGAAGCTGAAGGGTGCTCGAAATCACCAGCAAGCCTGGTGCTGCTCCGACTTTGACTGGTACTAGTACTTCCGCTGATGCTACTACTACCACCACCACCACCACCACCCCCACCACCACCCCCACCACCACCACCACCACCACCCCCACCACCACCATCACCACACGACTCCCGCTCCGACTTCGACAATGGCGAGGGCGACACCTATGCCTGCAACCGCGACGATGATAATGAATGCAATAAACCAATTTTATACCAGTACTGCGAACCACTGCCACGGCCATTGCCAGCTCTAATTAACATTCTGTCAAATTGTTCCTGCAGTTGCAAGCATTCCTGTTCTTGCTTGCTTGAGTGCCGGCGGCTGACCTTATGAATGTGATTCGGCCTGATCCCACGATATCCTCTCCGTTAAATTCCTTTCAGTACCCGATTAGTTCGCTCCGAGGTACCCACACAATGTACTCGACTCATCAACTAAAGTTGAGTTCGAATGACAAGCAGCCGTGATCTTCCACGGCATTGCTTCTACACCCTTGACTTGGTGCTTCGAGATATGTGCTCACGGCTCACGCCTTAGTCTTAGAACTTCGGACCCGGACTTTTGGGGAAGAGGTCCATGTTGTGAAATGCAAAAGTGCCTCCTCCGCGTCTTCCATCCGGCTAAAGGTCACGATGGCCTCACAGTTGCACGAAGCTCTACCAAGTCATGAACGAATGAAACGGATTGGGGTGCAGAGCTGAGTGGCTTTTCGGGGTTTAGGGTCTTTAGGCTGGTAGGCTGGCAGGTATACTCCGATATATCACGCATATCAGTAGTTGTCACACCTTGTAGCGTATACCACCTCGACGGCATGACGGGGCAGTCCAACCCTGAACCCCACACTCTAAATCCTAAACCCCAAACTGCCTAAACTCTTAACGCTCGGCCGGACCGAATCCGAAGTCGACGAAGGCCCCTTGGAACTAACTGTACTGGAACAACAGAATAACTCTCATGGTAATACTAGGGGCCTCTTGCGTTTGGGCTAGGCAGTCAGCTGGAATTATAGTCGAGTTGATTGGCATCTAGCCACATCTAGCTTCAAGTCTCAATGCACCCACGATAGCACGTCCATTCTGACACAGGGCGCTGTTTGCTTATGCTTGCTTGCTACTGATGCAGTGTGCGGATAAAGCTTCTGTGGAACAGAGTCTCGGCAGTGGTCAGCAAGCAGCACACAAGGAGCCTCGTGCCGCACCTGGTTGATCTGCAGAGAAGAAACCGGCCTTAGCAGAACAGGTCACTCATCCCATCCAAGCTAAACAGCCAAACTTCGACGCCACTCGTAAACCCCAAAACCCGAACCTTCAAAGCCCTAAACCACCCCAATTTAAAACCCCCAGAGCCCTGGTTCCCACCAGCCCCTAAACGCTCAAATTTTCTACCCCCAAAACCTCTTTCACTTCTAAGCAGTCCTAAACCTCCAAGACCCTCGAAACCCCCTCACGTCCCGAAACCCCTGAGGCGCCCGGCCCGAAGCGGCCAAAGTATTCATTCAGCACGTCCATTTTATTGACGCCGGGAGGCACCTGGAAAGCACCAGCCGCCCTTTCTCTGCAGTTTGGCCTCTTGCTTTTCCCGGCTAGAAAGGGGCCAGAACGAGTGAGAGAGGCTCTAGCAAGAGACTGGTTGGACATCGAGGTGCTTTTTGCAGGCGTACTGCGCAGGCAAAGCGGCGACGGAGTCAGGGTTGGAGCTGGACTTGGATACTTGATCGGTCACACCCTGCAAGTGGCTTCACCATGTAAGACTGGAAGCCTGCATCACAACGATGCTCACGCCGCCGTTCTCGTTCCGCTCCAGCCGCTGACCTGCCGAAGCGACCCAGAGCCGCAAACTGCAAAGCCCGAAGATCCCAATGCCCGAGAGTTTGCTGAGAACTATCGGTTTGGGGTTTCGGTTCTAAACATATTATAGGGGAAAAAATACTTTTTCCCCCTATAGTATGTTTAGTGGAAGGTGATCTCCGGAGAGCTGGCTGCGAGAGCGCCTTTGCGTGGCTGCGGCGGCGGATGCGAGGGCGGCGGCCTGAGCTTGGAGTTCGTGGCTGGGCATTATAGGATCCTTAAGGGGGGTGGCTCAAGGGACGGTTTAGGGTTTAGGGTTTAGGGTTTAGGAGCTTTAGGGACCTAAGGGAGTACTAGGGAGAATGGGGGATTGGGGATTATGGGTTATATACCCCCCTTAGAACCCCCTCCCTTAAGGATTCCATAATGGGCAGCAGCAGTAAAAGAAGACAGCGGCAAGCGCGATGTAACAAGCCTTTTTCTAAGGGCTTTAGGAGGGATTCATAATAGGGGCCCTTGTAGGTTATTGGGGTTAAAATGGAAACGAACCTTTTGGCTGAACTTGACGAGATAGATGGTGAATAGTTCAAGACATGCTGGGAAGTGGCTCAGTGATTCGGCAGATCCTGCATGAAAGATGTGCTGGTATTTTTAATACCGTGGCAAAAACTCCCACAGAACGACCGAAGCAAGAATCTAGAAAGACCCCACGCCCTAACCCCACAACCCAAATAGCCCCAAGCCCAACACCAAAACCTAAAAACCCCTCAACATCGTAGACCCCTATCCTCACCGCCCTGACCTAAACCCCAGACCCTGACTAAACCCCAGAGGCCACCAAAAAGCCAAGAAAAGCCGAGCCCTGGCGACGCCCTAACCCCGAACTCTTTAAACCCGTAGGCTTTAGGGGTTTAGGGTTTAGGGTTTCGGGGTTTAGGGTTTAGGGTTTACCCAACAACTCCTAAACCCCTAAAAAACCTAGAGCCAAAGCTCTAAACCCCGAATCCGAAACCGTGGCTCTCGAGCACCGCACCCTGCCGCGTAGGGACCCCTCCACGACTCGGGAGGCCGAGGCCTTCGCGCAAGGCTTTTAGGGGCTTAGGGTTTGGGCGCTTAGGGTTTAGGGGCTTAGGGTTTAGGGGCTTGGGGTTTAAGGTTCGAGGGTTTTAGGGGCTTAGGGTTTAGGGGCTTAGGGTTTAAGGGTTGAGGGTTTACGTAGGCATTTTGGGGTAAAGAAGTGTTTAGAGTTTGGGGTTTAGGGGCTTAGGGGCTTGGGGTTTAAGGTTCGAGGGTTTAGGCGTTGAAGGGTACATGAGGGTTTAGAGTTTATAGGGTTTAAGGGTCTAGAAATTTAGGGTTTAAGGGTTTGGGGGCTGAGGGCTTCGGGTTTAAGAGTTTAGGGCTTCTTGGCTCTATAAGGGTGTTTTATGGGTTGCTGTAGAAGGGATCTATATGGGTCTGATGAATATAGTGCAGTAAGTGAGCTTCGGCGTTAGGAAGTTTGGGGTGCAAGGTTTAGGAAGAAGGGGATCTAGGATTTACTAATGGCTTCATGTGGGCTCCAAGGTTGTTTCAGAGCTTAGCAAGGATTTCCTAGGACGCCCCAAGTGTTTATCAGGCTTATCAGGTTTCCAAATGGTGGTAATGAGTGCCTTGCACTGTGACAAGTAGTCTAGTACGCAGCATTCAGAAAGCCCCAACCAACCCAACTTCTAGCCTAGAAGCCCTAAACCCTAAACCCTAAACCCTTCTAGGCTCCAGGCGGAGGATACCCAGCAGGCGGTGGCCCGGGATGCACGGGCCAAGGGGACGGGGCGTTGCCCATCCTGGGTGTAGCGCTTGCACAGTAACATGCAGCAAGGCATAGTTTAAAGTGAAAGGTCCAGGCCCTAGGCGTTTAGCAGCTGCAAATGCGGGGCGACATGAAGACGCTGTGGAGCTTAGGGCTTGTAGATTACGGCTTTGGCTCTTTTGACCTTGGGACACTGCAGCGCTGTTGAAAAAGAGAGGGCGCTTGTCGCCCGAAAGGCGCCGCCCCTGTAGCGCAAGATGTTCTCACAAGCAAAACCACAGTCACTTCGCATCGGCCAGCTCTACATGCATACGGCTTGCCGCCACAGAGAACTCTAGTTTTAGCGAGGCCCGGGAGGCCTGCTGTTTTCGGCCCAAGGTTTGGGGCCTAGGGTTTACGGTGCGACGACAGAAGAGAAACTGAAGGCAGGCTGTGATAGCCAGCAAACTGCTTCAGCACCCTCCCAAGAAGGGACCGATGCGTTCCGGTGTATTTCTTGCCACATGTAATATGATATTCTGGCATGGATGGAAGCAGCAGCACTGTCTCGAACCCAGTGCCCAAACAGTCTCGGGTTCACTCGCGCATCCCGTACGACCCGAGACCCCAAGACCCTGCCAAAACCGCAGCTGCAGAGGCCGTGGCCAACCGCTAGGAGGACCTCTGAGCTGACCTGGGATTTGGGAGGGTGCCGTTCCGTGTGCCAATTGCTGCTAAATTTGCTTCCAACAGTACCCTAAATCTCCTCGTCGCACCAGGCTTAGAGCAAGCAATTTCATGTCGCTCCCGTGAAGCGGGAGGAGAACAAACAAAACCAAGGGGGACTCAAGTTGAAGCTGCAGCTGACCATTACCTCGAAATACTGTAGGGGCCGTCATTGAAACACTATCGGCAACTCACTAAGTGGTGTTTTCTATATTGCGCGCAGTTGCGGCACGCGTTACTGGTATGCAAGGATGAATGGTCTGCAGGGTCTCTCGGGGGATAGGGAGCTTTAAGGTTAATATAGGGGCCTTAGTAATTAGAACAGGGTTTTGGGGCCCATTGTGCTATAACTATAACCAGGAACCCCCAAAATAGTACAGGTAATCATTGAAGCCCCTACATTACCCAATGCAGAGTTGAGGGCGTTGGGTTTGGGTTTGTCGGCCGTGAATGGATTCCAGGGTGTGCTGTTGCAAATGGCCGGATCTCAACTTACAGCTACAAATTTAATTAAACATCCTGTGATGATCAACAGACCCTAAACCCTGAATCCTAAAACCCTAGAGTAAAGCCTAAAACCCTAAACCCCAACCACCCAAACCCAGACAGCTTTTCCCAGGTGTGAGCGTGAGCCTGGAGATGGCAGGATCGTCTCTACACCGGAGGGATTGAACCCAGCCGTGGTTTGAGAAGAGTCACTGGATTTAGGGTTTTGGGTTTCGGGGTCTAGAGTCTGTTAGAAGGTTTCTATGAAGGGTGTCAATTACAATCTCTATCACCCGGCAGGGTTCCTGTACAGGACCCTCACCTGCTTCACTCACAGCTCCGAGTTCAACGCCCCTGGAGCAGATCAACAAAAACCAAAGCATAACTTGCCCAGAGCAGGTACAGGGGTTGTTTCAAGATGGGCCTTGCGCAGTGTAAACATGCAGCTGGATCCAGCAGATGGTCAGTCTACCTGTTGTTACTGCTCACCATGGTTGAACACAGACGAAGCGATCAGCGCGGACACAAACGTCCAGTCTGACCACAAAAGGTACTGGGACTTTGCCGAAGCCGAACCTCAATCTGTTGTGAAGCTCCGACTTGTTGAAACCCGTCCTACGTCACCTAGACAACTCCAGCTCTCCACCTCCCCTGGATGTTCGATGCTCCGTTCTTGGGAGCAGTGCTTCGAGGACTTTCAGTGCCGCCGTGGCATCTTCGACGCTGAACCCTTTTCCTTGGAAAGAGAAACCGATCCTTTCTAGAGACTGTCTTTCAAGATATTCGGAAACCCAAGCCACAAAAAAAAAACAAAAAAGGATCTCTGACCCTAGCCTTGACCAAGCTTCGGAATGTCTCGTTCCCCACGGTGATGATAATGCCCACATTCTGGCCACTCCCAAGCGGGCGCCGGGTCCAATCCAGTGCCCACCAGACCTCAGTGACCAAGCCGCTGGTGAAAGCCGCTTGTGAGGATTTCTGAATAACGTGGGTTCCCTTTTTGGGCGTCCTTACAGTAAGGGCTCCTCTTATTTAGGGTCCAAGGTAGGGTTCCTCGACATTCTGCTGATGGTTGCTGTCGTCTGGCAGCACTACCGGCACAAGCAGTGGTGGTTTTTGAGAGTCCGAGCAGCCGTCATCGCAGTCATGAGATGGTGTGTATGATAACGGCAATGGACAGTACGTTTAAGGGTCAAGAGTGAGAAGAGCAGAGAACGTGCAAAGGAAATTACCAAAACAAAAGCACGCAAACACACATCTAAATCATGCCAGCGCTTTCCCCCCAAGTACTGGCTGGATTCAGCGAGGATTCGGGAGCGGGGGAAGAATGCTTTCCCCAAGTGCCGGCGCAATTCGGGAGGCGGGCACAATGCTATCCGCAAAATACTGGCATGTTCAGGAGTGCCCAGGGCAAGAAAATGGTCAAAATTGATCACAAGTATGAGCACATCATCAGTATCATCAATATTGAACATGAACATGAATAGGAATAGGAATCAGATGCTGACCATCGCGACGTGGTCACAGTGTAGCAACTTGACCTGCAGCCTGTACTTGTCAGTCCTGCGAATGTCAAGAAAAATAGGAAGTCCGATGTGGGGCTTAAGAGTTCGTGTTCAAGCATTAACAAGCTATGCTTCGAATCCCCCATTTTTATGTGATTGGTGGGCGTGCTTCCATTTTCAAACGTCGAGCAGCTTTGTTCACGGAGCTGCCCCAAGCCTTCCAGTCGAGCAGCGTAAACCCCAGATCCCTGTCAGTGGTGAAGCTGAGCTCTCCATGGTTGTTGAAAGGGATCTCGATCCTTTTCTGCTTCCCAAAAGGGAAGTAGTAGGACTTGATGCATAGATGATCGGAGTAGATGTCCACAAACTTGTCGTGGTAGAGCTTTTCGCTTGCAGCTTCTGTGGCCATGGCTCAGGAGGTCTGCTGAAATCTGCTGCTTCCTCCAGGGGTGTCTGGGCCTCTTGGCTCGAGATCAGTTTCGATGGAATGCCGGCTGCTAAGATCCCGAAGTGTCAAAATCCTCCCTACAGCCGATGCATCCTTCGGCTCTAAACGGGAACGCTGAGCCCGAATCCTCCTGCAACTTGAAACTCCCGTAACTTAGGGAAGGGGATCATACTAGCACGGGCTCCAACATTTCCCCGAACCCTTGAAGCCTATAGAAACACCGAATGCGGCAGCTTGCACAAGCCTAGACCCTAAACAGCCCCTTCAAGCAGAGTAGGTGATCGGGTTATGTTACGGTGCACCCAACGGAGGTTAGGGCTTCAGGCCCGAAGCCATGCCTTGAACCCACTCCGGGAATAAGAACATGCCAAGGGACTGCCCATAGGAGGCCAACCAGGCCCCCTTTCCACCCCCCAGGGAGGCCTCAGGAGGCAGAGAGGGTTCAACTTCAGCGTTCAGTGTTCCTGGTTTAGGGATTAGGGACGACTCGTGATGACCGCGGATAAAGAAAATACACACAATGCCGGAAGTGCGAGTCTTCTGAACCTCTAATGACTCTAAAACATCTCCACAGAGATGCGCACATCGGGCGAGTCTCGTCTAGCACAGGGCAAGCTTGAGGACATGCGATGTGTGGTAAATTAAGCCATAAATATAAATCATTTGTCATACAAATGCCTCCATAGTTCATGGTCTGTCTTTGTTTACGGCAACGAGTATAGGGCTCTTCGAGAGGGCTTGCGCAAGCAGGATCTCGGTGAAGCATGAAACCGCTCCCAGCAACTTACGACTAGCACGGGCTGATGGGTTTTGGGATAGCTGTAGGTCGGCGTGTCACCATCAGAGTGCAACTCCTGAGGGTGAGTGTGCAATGAAGGGGAGCTCAAGCTTTCTTCGAATAAAGTAGCTTGTCATGGTGTACTCATGCCAAGACTTAGTACATGCTTGACCTATCAGCTCGAAGCTGCATTTACAGGCATGTCGACAACGGTGCATGCATGCATCCTAGGTCCGACTACGGATTTCACAGCACCAGCAGCAACACACAAGAACCTAATGGGAAGGGCAGCACAGTAGTAGCAGCATTTATTTTGAAAGGCAGAGGAATTTGCATGTGCTGCAGCAGCGTCTTTACTCAACCTCCAGCCAAAGGCATTTTTTTCTCCCGAGAGTGCGCTGTAGGCCATGTCGCCGCGCACCTGCCGGTTGCCTGGGCGAACGCTACGGCCTTAAGGCTTCGTGGTGGGCTCGCAGTGAAGGGCAACCTGAAGCCCCTTGCTTGGAGGGTCGGGGGACTTAGTAAGGCGGTAACAAGTAGGCTAATACGTACCCCAAAACAGATCCTAATTGGGGTTATGATACTTATAATTCTATAAAATAACTACTTACTGGTCCCTCGACCCTCCAAGTGAGCTCCCCAAATGCAAAACCCATGATCAGAAGCTCAAGCCTTCAAGCCTTAACAGGTCTGAAGATTCGAAGACTGGAAAGCTTAACTTGTCGTCGGAGAGGAGGAGCAAGAAGAAGAGGAGCAGAAGCAGTAGAAGTCGTCGTCGTCGTGGTAGTGGTAGTGGGAGTAGCAGTGGTAGTGCTGGTGGTGGTGGTAGTAGTAGTAGTTGTTGTTGTTGTTGTTGTTGTTGTTTCAAGGACTATACCACTAGCTGCCCTGTCCCTTTTTCAAGTCTGCCAGCCTCGAGGGCTCAGAATCCTCTCCAGGCCCCTTAGATCCTAGTCCAAGTCGCGTGAAAGGACTCAAAGCAGCAGCCTCGTGATGAGAAGCTTTGCCAGCGTTGTTACCCAAACGGCCCCGAAACCAGTGGCAACCTCCCCTTTAAATCCTCAACCCCCAAGCAAGACCGTGCAAAGCTAACAAAAACACAAGTCCGGACCGAGGCTGTGACTACCGGTGTGCTGCACGTTGGATTGCTTCGCGATGCGGCTCCCAAACTGGATCGCTCGCTTCTTGAAGCGCCTGAGTGTGCTCCCTCATTCTCTCTCACACTCTCTCTCTCTCCCCCGTCTGTCGTTCACTGTGAGCATCGTTGCTGCTAGCAGGTGTTATGTACTCTGTTGTGATCTACATTGACAATATCTGTGTACCTGCATAGCGACCCTGCTGTTGATACTGACTCGATTGGGTCGGACAAGGTTTGAAGGAGTTGGAACAATCATTGAACATCGGTAGAATGTTCTCGCCGGTGACGGGTGTTTATGGAATGGGGCACTGCGTTTGACTGGGTATGAGGCTCCCGAAAGTGCGGCTTCCACACGTGCAAAAGCGCACGCTTTGCGGCACACACAATCTTAAGATAGCGCCGCTGGCTCAGCCGAGACACGAACAAGTCTCCAAGCCCCGTTCGGCAGCAAGCGCCCTCAGCAGCCACTTGTCTGGTGATGGATCCGACTCGCCTGCATGCAGACACACTGCTCCTAGTGGCCTCTTTCTGTATCCGAAAACCGTAACCAAGGCATTGGACCGACACTCAAGGCTTGCTATCTTCGGACACTTTGCGTCGCATTGGCTTTGATGCTCTAGCAGGCTACAAGGTCCTGGAAAATATGAAGACATCACCAAGTGGTGACCGTGCAATGCGGAGCTCGTTGTCCACAAAAGTCGTCAGCAGACGGATACTCGCTCCTTCCCCGGAGGTCAGGGCAACCGATGGCAGTGGCAGCGGCAAGGAGGGCATCCCCTCTGACTGTACTGCTGGTTCAAGGCAGGCACTCTGAAAGCTGATCGAAACCTAGGCTTCGCAGGAGATCCACTGTTGAGGCTTTTCTCGCTTCTGGGAGCTTCAAAGACAAAGCGGGGTATCAGTCTTAGAAAAGCTGGCACAAGAGGAATTCAAAGGAACGCTGTCGTCCGGAAGCAGCTTGCCCGTGGCCTGCACCTTGGAGAGAATGGTGACTGCCCTCGCCAGATCTGGAAGCACCACTCCAAGCACCCCGATGCCCTTGGGAGATAGCTCCACAGAGTTTGTGATACTCAGCGTAGCCCCAAGATCCTCTGGGCTCCTCTGGATATCCTGCCGGATCTCTCCGCAGTCGGCCAGGGGCAGCGAGGTGAGGAGAAGGACGTCCGGCGACGTGGCCCAAATCAGGCGCCACTTCCCAGAAAGCGCCGAGACGAGGCCGTCTTCTTCCGAAGGCTTTTCAGGGCCTGAGCCCCTGTTCCTCGGCTTCTTGGTCCGAGAAGAAACGAAGCTACGAGTACTTCAATCAAGCTCCTGAACAGAAATCCCCCAAACTCCCTTTGCAAAGCCCTCTAATTAAGGCTCTAAACCCAAACCCCCCCTTTGTAAACCCAGAAAGAAGAAGCCCTATAATATAAGACCCTTTCCAAACCCCCCTTCATAGAACCCAGAAAGGAGAAGCCCTACTTCCACCCCCTCTCGTAAGAAGGGCCCGGCTTCCGGAAGCTCGGCTTCAAGGCCTCCAGCTCTTCGATGCCTGGGCTTTTCTTAGGGGAACTTCCTTGAAGGCTACCACAAGAGGGGATCTGTAGTAGATAGTAGGGTTCCCCTTACTAGGACCAGAATAGGGGAGCTTGATGGTTTGCTAAAGAGCCCTAGCCTAATATGGCATTTTTGGACCCTAAACCCTAAACCCCTAAACCCCTAAACCCAAAACCCTACTCAACATAAGTTCCTTGGCAAGAGCCCAGACGCAGGTCATGATCTCCGCCCGCTGCCCGGGCTGCAGCGCCGAGAAGCCCCGGTTGCAGCCGGCCGTGAGTCGAAGGAAGCGGTCCTTCCTGGCATCTCAGAAGGTTCAGAGTTAATGGGTTTAGGGGTTAGGGGTTTGTTTTCTGAGGGTCATATGTCATGTGGGCGACCGTAAGGGTTTAGAAGGGTCGTATAGGCTCATGTTGGGCAAGATAATACACGGGGTGCTGTGCAGGGTTATGACGGTTATGATCTATTATAATGAAGGGTCTGCATGGTTTGCAATGTCTGGTAGGGACTCAGAAATTTCTATCACGGTGTTGCGTAGGATTTCAGACATCCTTGAGCTCTCCACACCGAGGATTCTGTAGCCTACGATTGTTGAGGCTTTTCCTCATTTTACGACATGCCGATATACTGATATACTTGTAGGAGCTGAATCAAATTTGGGATACTGCGGAAGGCAGTTTTTGGGTCGTCGAGAACACTACAGAAAGACAATCAAAGCCAGCTCAATAGCAGCAAAGCTTCAGTCGGGACAGCTCCTCCTGCGCAGTGTCTTGGCCCGGCAGTGGACGCTGCAGGACAAAGGCTGCAATGGACTGAGAGAGCCGCTGTATCCGGGAACTTCCCAGGGGCGCATCCAGCGGAGTGGTGTGGCCACCGGGGAAGCGCAGCTTCTCGACTTCACCGCCGCCTTGGCGGATCAAGTCCATCAGGCGATCGCTCTCGTCTGTGAAGTCGTTCGCAAATTGCACCACCAAGGTGCGTGTAGACGGAAACTCCGACAAGACTCGCGCTGAGATGTCCTCTGTTGACAAAGTGAACTCCGTCCGGCCCTCCACCACGCTCCCAAGCAGTGGGCCCCACTGCGAAAGCACTGGCGCCGTGCGCGATGAGAAATCCTCGGACGGCGCTGCAGCGCCGGCGGCACGGATGGCCCGCTCCGCGGCAGCCAGCGCCTCCTCCACCGGAGCATCGGCGAGGGCTCCCTCGACGCCATTGCGGAGGCGCTCCCGGAGCTTGGGGTCTTCGGGAGGTGGGGGGAGGGGCACAGGGATAGCATCTGAGACGGGCTTGTTGTTGAAAGCCATGAGGATGCAGGCCTCGTGCCGGCCATGAGCGACGGCCAGCAATGTATGCAGCAGCGCCCCGCACGAGTGACCAATTGCTGCTGATGGAAGATCCTTCATTGCGGGATCCTCCTCTGCCAACTGGGCCACCACCTGATCGAACTTGCTCGAAGTATCCGTCGCCATGGCGTCGTAATCAAACGTCAGTTTGTATGGTGTTGCAACTACAACTGCCTCGCCTTCTTCTGCAAGACTTTCCAAAAAATCCTTGTAAAAGAGCTTCGGGGAGGCACCGACGAAAGCGCCACCAATGAAGTGCACCTGCCTTCTCGGTTCCGATGGGACGAAGACTGGGCACCCGCAGATTTCTTGCCAGCCGCGTGCCACACTGGCCGGTGGTGCCTTCGGCACCGGTACTGGATCTTGCGCTTTTTTTGTCGTGGCCCGCAGTGCGACGCATCGTGCACCTTTGCGCCGCATCTGGCTGCCAACACCCCCGCAAAACGCCGCTAGCACCAGTGCTGAGGAGCTGCCCTTTGACGAGCCCTGGCAGCCCAAGCACTGGCCTTCCACGGAGGATTGCCACCTCGCATGCTGCACAACATGGGCTTTGGTGGAGGCCACCGCCGGAGCGATCATGTTTGCAAGGTCAAGAGCACTGTGGCCTGAGAGGCATCTACGCGAGGCCTCCTTGCAGGCTTTGTGCCAAAGCTGCTGAGAAAGGGTTTCGAGCACAAGCCAGCTCAATGACTGTTGCCGTTCTCTAAGCAACATGTCCACGGTTACAGGATTCCAAGCAAACGTCTACATTACCTGACTGAACCGCACGAACAATTGGACAGGCTAGTTCACAAGTTTCTCTTGTGCTGCTCCTCCTCATCCTCGTCATCCTCATATCCCCACTCCTACCCCTACATACATACATACATACATACATACATGTAGACAGACAAGCATGTGAATAAGCTCCATATGACATTCGGCCGGCACTTGCAAGGGTTGATGCACCTGTTGGTAGCATATGGCAGTTGACATTCCATCGGTTCCTTCTCCCAAAAACGTTATGCTAGATAGAGCTTTACATTCATGTTCAGGGGGGTCGGGGTTGATGTCTGACCGGTGTCCATAATCTTCCATAAGACCTGCTTTCTGTCAGCAAGAACCTCGATCTTGAATGGTTTGGCTTGGCCTATCCCGAAGAGGACAACTGCGAGACTGGCGAACACTCAGACTCTTGATGGAACATGCCGTGCGATTATAAGGTTTACTCATGGCTCACGGTCAGATTGAGATGGACAAAATCATGGGGATCATGCAACTGTAGATGCTACTTCTGCCGGCTGTTGCTGCAAACGACTTTGAGGAAAGCCCAGTGGACTGCACCTCCGGGTCCGTATGCCAGGAGGTCGATGGGAAGGCTTCCGACGAAACGCAGCAGGTGCTCGTCCAGGAAGGGGTGTCTGGGGGCCGTCGTGGCAATCGGTTGGGGAACCCTTGCTTGCTGATGCTTGCTGTCTATGGCATGTACCAGCTCTCGGAACCATCAACAAGATCTCAAACAATCGCTTAGCTAGCCCCGAAGACTTCCTAGCCGCCTAGCCCTTGTGCGAGTTTGCCAGGATCAAGCCAGGCTTGCAGTGGTTTTAATTGCTGCCCTCCGTACAGTACTTGTGTCTTACCATCAGCCCTACTGCTCTTGCAGCTCCTGCTCCTATCATGTTACAAGACCTCTTGGCATTCCGGCCTGGCTTCCCGTCCATGGTCGGCAATGATGCGATCATCCCGGCCCAGGTTGCCTCTGGTCCAAAACTGATCTACGAGTTAGGGGTTTAAGGTTTAGGGTTTAGGGTACTCACCAGGCTTACAACACACGTGAATTTAGTCACCGCAACACTCAACACTCATGCGAAAACAGCGAACCAAATTTCATGATGGTGATTATACGGAGAAACCTGATGACATAAGAACACTTGCGATGAAAGTAGTAGTAGGAGGAGCACGATGAGGAGTGCGAGGAGTAGGAGGAATGGGAGGAGTGGGAACAGCAGCAGCTGCTGCAGCAGCAAGAGTGACCTGAATGCCTATAGCTGCTGTTGTCTTTTCAGGTCCTGGTAACGTTGCTAATTAGTTGTATTGCCTCGGTTGCTAACAAGACTGCCATTCTCAACCACCTATCGCTGCTGTTCCTCCCCTTGTCGCCTTGTCCATTGTTCCCGTTCCTCCCGGCCAATATTGCTTATGCGGTTAACTTGTTCATGTTAAGACTATCGTCACTCTGCCATGTAAGACGATTGTTGTTAACTATTGCGTATCAGACTGTCTACGGTGGTTCGAACCTCTGGCAAAAAGTTCGGATGTGGCGGAGGGTTTCTGTGCTAGTTGAGCCGACTCTCGTTGCAAGACCGGGATGCGCGTCCACAGCCGCTGCAGGTCCTGTGCAGGGAGCATCAAACAGTCTTGAAAGCTGACCATAGATGCCGGCTTGTGTATGCATCCCTCTGTCTACCCATCTGCCTGTCTGCCTGCCTAGTTACCTAGCTGCCAGTATCTGTCAGTTCATTGCTTGCCTTTTTGTGTGTCTTCGATTTGGTTTGTCGGGATGAGTATGATTTTACTGGTGATTAGTAAGATTAGTACCACTGCTCAATGCGGATACTGCTAAACACTACAAAACCCTCTGACGGCGCAACATCACTCTGTAGAGGCCGTAACACCAGGAACAGGGTTTTGTGGGGTATGATATATATATTCTGCAATACGGTATGCTCAGGAATCGTCTTGCGGGGCATGCAAACCAGGAACAACTTGTGGATCAGAGTCCTTCAGCATCTCTTCACGGGTCCCTTCGGCGCCGCGCTTCACTCGTGCCGTGCGGTGTCGGGAGTAGCCGCCCAGAAGTTCATCGGCACCTTCGGGGGTGATCGATTGAGCACTTGGGGCTTTAAGATTGCAGGCTTTCGATTGGGGCGTTGGTCCGGGCAAGCCAGCAAATCCACTTCAAAAAATGGGCCAAACCTTTTTCCGCTTGTGGACCCCAAAACACTCGATCCAACCGCAAAGCCCTAAAGCCCCAAAGCCTAAACCCCTAGACAAATCCAAGGGCCCGGCCAGTACCGATGAGGAGGACACGGCTGGCGGCTTGCACCACGAGAGCCTGGCCAATGAGGCTTTGGCAGACTGCTTGACAGTGAAATCTCGGAGAGATAAATGGCAGTCGCACTACTATTGCAACGACCAGGACTACTAAAAACAACTCCGACCACCACTACCACGACGACGACGACGACTGCCACAACTTCTGCTCATACTCCTGCTCCTGCTGCTACTGCTGATGCTGCTGCAGCTGCCATGGCTACGGTACGGCTACGGGTACGGCTTCTGCTCCTGCTAAGGAGCGTCGTTCTGCTAATCGCGCCGGCACTCATAGTTGCAAAGGAGGACGCTCGTATCAGATGATGTTCTGCAGAAGCTCTGCAGAAGTGTACAAAGGCTAGCCTGGCATTACAGCGTTTTTGTACATATGCTACTGCCTCCTCGCCAGCGCAGCGTCGGGCACTCATGCAGGCGGTCACCGGGGCCTCGGGAAAGTCGAGATGCAAGGAACGTTCTAATGATCAGCAGAGTACTGAGCAGGTCCTGCGAGCCTCCTCCTCAGCCTCTTTCCCAGCCGCGGCGGACGCTTCTGGCCCTGGGCCGGACAGGTTATGACAGGTTCAACGTGGTTTGCTGGCCTAGATCAAAACAATCTTAGCAACGAGACTGTCCTGGAGCAGCCGAACATTTAATTGATGTCCGAACACCGCGTAGAGCGAAACCCATCGGATGTCGAACTTGGTGCTGGGAAGTATGTTGTGTTTGTTTTGAAGCACGCCCGGCATGACGCACAGCGCAAAATGGCTAACTCGCAACTGCCACACTGTGCGTCACTCTACTCTGCACTGCAAGCCCGGACATGAAAGTAACAGCACATTCATAGACTTCAACCCACTGTTCTTGTGATCATATTAGCAGCAGTAGTCAATTGTTACACTTGAATTATAAGCCCCAAACAAACCCTAAAATCCCGACCCTAGACCCCCAAACCCTAAACCCTTCTACCCTGCCTGGTTCTGAAGCCTTCGCTTTGTGCACCGAGCACCAGTCCTTTGGCTCTCCAGCTGCCTGCAGCCAAGTCCATGCTCAGGGGCTCCCTACTTGGAGGTTCATGGGTAGTTATAAGTGGGGTTATAAGTCCCCTAATATGGGTTCTAAGTACAGTTACCCTACTTATAACCCCACTTATAACTGCCCATGAACCTCCAAGTAGTATTGAGAATCAAATTGAAAATAGGGTTTTGGGCTTACAGGTGTACTGGGGTTTAGGGTTTCCGGGGTGTGCGGTTTTCGAAGAATTGGCTTCTTCTGACCGTTGTAAAACGCTTTATAGGGTTTACAACAACGAGCCCTAAGTAGCCCGTATGTAGCATTTTTGGACCCTCCCTTAGCCTGGCGCAGCTTTCGGCAGCAAAGCTTGCAGGCACCGTGGGGGCAACCTCGCCCGGGATGTGGTTAGCGTTGAGGGTTGAGCGTTGAGGGTGCAAGGGGATCGCTCGGTTTCGGTTTCTGAAGGTTTTTCGTGCTGCCAGCATCGGCAATCTCGCTCCTTGATCGCTGCGATGCTCAATGGTAATTGATAACTCAGACTTGGATTTAAGAAAGCCTCCCGATGACTCACAGAGAGACATCACGCCTCTCTAAGTTTCCGGACCATGGGGCTACTGGGACTAATGGAATAACCTACTTAGCCCGACCTCTCAAAGCCCGTGGACACGCAAACTTTCTGCATTCCACCATGAATCTAAATGTCTTCAGTGACCCTGGCCTCTGGAGAAACATCCCAAACCCAAAATCTTCACAAGCATTGCCGAATCCGCAGCGACGCCTTAACCCTAAGCACGAGTAAGCTTAACCCTCAACCCTGAACCTTAAGCCCTCAACCCTAGCCCGACATGCACGACCTGGCTTGGCCGGAAGGACGCAGCGCACGCAAGGCGATCTCTCTGCAGCTGGCGCCGGGCCTGGTAGGCAGCGGAGCTTGGGGTCTGGGATCCATGGTTTGGGACCTTCCTCTTCAAAGCTCAAGCCACCTAAAAAAACCAGCGCTTCAAGCGGCCGATGCAGTACTGCGCCCTCCAACTCGAAAGTGAACCCACTCGAACTGACCGAGGGTAGAGGCAGAAAGTCTTGGACAAAGGCTGACTTGCCCCACTTGCCTCTGCCTCAGTACATGACCTAGAAAGAGAAGGCTTGTCCAGGCTTTTGTGTCGGCGGGAAGCACAAACGAGGATTCGTCTCTGAGCCCTATCGACGAAGTCCGAAGCCCTGAACCGACAAAACGCAGGACAACAGAATGCGAAAAACTACAGTATGAGACCATACCATAGCAACCTACATACACTGCCTCCTCGTTCGATGGGCTTCAGCGGCTCAAGCTGCACGGCTTCCATGGCCTGCACAAGAGTGGCTACCTCAAACCGAGGCGAACATATGGTTCCGTACAATACTAGGATCCTCATTCAAGAAACCCCAACAATCAAGGCACCTTGGTTTTCCGAAACTCCCATTGGGCTCTAGGAACCCAGAGAGCCCAATACCATTAATTAAGGAATATAGCTCAAATCATAATATGAAGCCCCTTAAAGCTTAAGGTATATTCATTAAGGGGTATTGGGCTTTCTGGGAAGTGAGGCTGATACTCTTTGCCGCGCCTGCGTTGCCTTGGCAGAGGGCCACCAGGTGGCCTCGAGGACGGAGGCGGGGCAGACGAGCCCCCGGCCTCGCCGCACTTTAAAGTTTTAGAGTTTAGGGTTTAGGGCTTGGTCTTTTCATGGCGAACGGCTCACACATATGGGTAGTTCTCTAAATAGGGCCCCCTATTTAGGGGTTTGCTTTTTTGTACGGGTGCCGTACTATTTGGGGGACCCTCGCTTCGAGAACTACCATGTTTTTCCAGCTTCGACTCAAGACCCTGCACCACATAAACCTTAACCCCCATGCTCTGGATATTCAGAGTTGCTTCAGGTGGCTTTTTCTAGAGCTTCGGCTAGATCTCGAGATTGTACCGGGGCTCCTGGGGCTTCAAAGATGCATGTAGATTAAGCTTCAGGACTAAGGCTTACGAGTCGCGCCCAGGGCCCCCGAGCTTTTTATGGCTCCAGGTTTTGGCTTTGAGGCTTCACTTATAGTTACTTCGGCAGGGCCTTGGGAAGTGGGATTTTCGTATCCGATGGTTCCCTGCCTGCGACGCATGGCGGGTCAAGCCAGGTCAGACATCATAATCAGGATCCTACTACTCAAGGTCTATATATTATAGTCTATATTAGGGTCCCGTATTTTCTGAAACTTCCGGAGGATGCAATCCCGTCCATAGGGACTCTCTCTGCCCGACGCCACCGTCTCAACGCCTGGAGCCGAAGCCTTGAGCCCTGACCCGCGCCTCGGGCAGCAAACCAAAGGGCTGCAGCGATGTTGAAGTCCAGGTGCGTGGCCTCATGTAACAAGAGGCAAGGAATATCATATGACTTGATATGCAGTTGACAATGTAATGGGGTTTTAAATAATAACAGTGACAAGAAGGTGCGAAGGTAGGTCCGGATTCCGAAGAAAGGCCACTTGGAGAATTGGGGCACAAGACCCGAGGGGCAGAGGGCTTACGTGGCCTAGGTCATAGGGGTTGTAGGGGGTTTAGAAGTTTAGCGTCTCGTGCTCTGGGGAGCTTTCGGCCATGGGGGCCATGACCTATATAAATGCCGGAACCCTCACACATGAATGCCATGCACGTGCATATGTGTGAAATATAAACATATATATATATATGCATACATATTATGTAGATACATGTATGTGCATACAAAGGAGGGGAGAGAAGAGAGAGTGAGAGAGTAAGATATGATGATATCATACATGGGTCGAGCAAACAAGTGTAAATGTCAGAGCAGCAATAGTGAGAGGTAGTCGTAGAAAGGAAACTGGAGCTAGAACTAGAGAATGTCACGGAACTACGATGTGACACTACGTGATAAGACATTATGAAGGAACATAACATCACGAGATATGACTCACATATACAGTTTAAGCAAATCATATACCCATGCACACACCTTGCGGTGAGCCGCTGCATAGCATGAAACAGTGTGACATAGCATAGTGCATCACAATGTCATGCGGCACAAAATGTGTAACTATGATGTAAAATGCTCTATTGTGCACCAAAAATGAACCGACGCAGTAAGTCCAACACGAACAATGGCAACAACACTGAGAGCAGCTGTGTGTTGTCGCAGCCATATGCATCAGAAACGATGACAGTGCAGTTGTTCCTCTTCATGTTCTTCTGTTTGCATGCTTGTATGAACCGAAACCCTAAAAACGCAAAACCAAGTCCCCAACAAGCCCTCAAAGCCTAAATTTCGGAAGCGAACCCCGGTGGAGCTTTTTTGTCGATCCTCTGGTCTGTTCTACTGTATTATACGATAACATACTAATACATACAATTTTTCAGATATCATATATTATTTTTGTTTAAGCAACCGGGCCTTGGGACCCAAAAGCCGACAGATCGCCAGCTCTTCCTCGTAGACCTCCTGCTGCGTTACGTCGCAGAGCACCTGACATTTGGGTTTGGGGTTTAGGGTTTAAGTAGGGGTTTAGGGGTTTTGGAGTTTAGGGTTTAGGGTTTAGGGCTTCAGGGGGTTTTTGGTTTCCGGGGTGTTTAGGCGTTTGGCTTCCTGGACATCTTGAACAGCACATAAGCCACAAAACAAATGCAAGACATGCTGCAACAAACAACAAATCAAGATTGCTCTAGTCCGAAGCCACGAACTCATCCTGATTCTGTAGAGTGATTCTTCATACTACGCCTTTTGTTGTCACCGCTGCGGTACAAACCCAGCCGGGTCTCAAGCTCAAAGCTTTTTAGAATCCTGAAGACCAAACCCTGCGAGCCCTGAACCCTGCATTTTAACCTACTTGGGTCTTGCGCATTGTTACTTGATCTTGGGGGCCTTTGCATGAAGGAGTTCGAACTTTCGGATGCTCAGTGTCGTAGAAACGAAAACTTGATTTCATCCTGTATGAATTTATTGCCGTCGTACTGCCTCGACAAGGCTGTGGGTTACCTACTCGACCACGACGCTGACAATGCTACAAAGACCAAGCGTAGCAAGGCCTTCTGATCGATACATCGCTACTGCTTGCAGGGAGTGATTACTGATTGTTTGTTGATGCCGGTTTGGATGTTGCAAATGTAGTTCGAAAATAGGTGCACAAACCCATCCAGAGCCCTACTACGACTCCTTTTGGTGCTATCACTGGTCTTACTGTTAAGCTTGCCATGATTGTTGGCCTTGTCAGTATTGCCACTGTTTTGGATACAATCACTCAGCCGAGGCATACAGCAGTACCGCGGCCCGAAGCCCTAAACTTTGATCCCTATGCCCTATGTCTCCCCACAATCGCCTAAATCATGCAGGTGGCATACCTTAGTCAGGGTCTCTACAATAAGGATCCCATACTTGGAGGCCCAGGGGACTTGGTAAGTCGGTTATAAGTGGGGTTATAATTTGGGATAACTCCAGTTAAGGGACTTATAACTCTACTTATAACCTACTTACTAAGTCCCCTGGGCCCTAAACCCTAAACCCTATAAACCCTAAACCCTATAATGTGCGAAGACGAGAACGGCCTAAGTCCCCCGACCCTCCAAGTAACGGGGTCCCTCATATTCTGAAGCTGAACTCCCACGTGGCCGCTGCCAGGCGGCCAGCCGAAAGCGCTCAGCTCCGTACTGCCGCACGAGATCCTTCCATTTGGGTTTAGGGTTAGGATTTAGGGTTTAGGATTTAGGGTTTAAGGTTTAGGGTTTAGGGCTCGGGGAATTGAGGGTATTCGAAAAGATCATGGGACCTCGTAACTTATACTTACTGAGCCCCATGATCCAAGTTTAGGGACTTCGGATTTCGGGGTTTCGGTTTCAGATGCTTCGGTTTGGGACGGGTTTACGTACTATGTCGAAGTCTGTTTAACATGGAAGATCAAGTCGTTTGCATCATACAACGCTGAGAGCCCAGATTGATGCGATGAGAGGTTGCCTGGCCTTGCCCAGGTGAAGTGTGGTAGTGGTGGAATCAAAACGTTTAACTTGCTGCTACTGCTGGCTGTCACGCGTTCGGGTTGGTGTGTTAGCTTTCAGGCCCGCGCCTAAGCTCTGTGCTCGGAATAACTCCCCTAGACCCTAAGCCTTGAACCCTTAAATCCTTAAACTCCACGCCCGAAACCCTGTCGTCGCCCTGCAGGTGCCTCGTAGCTGCAAAGGGCCGTGAGGCGGTCTGGCGCTGAGCTGTCGAAAGCTACCTTGGCACTGGGCGTGTGTTCCTTTGAAGGGTTTGGGGTTTAGGGTGCCGAGTTTAGGGTTCCATTCAGGGTTCCTTCAAGACGGATCCTTGAAAGGGGTCTTTCAGGGTTACTAGAAGAGGCACTATGGGGGTTCAGTGTAGGTCGGGGCCTTCAGCTAGGTAAGGCTTAATAAACGGGTTGCCATAAGGATTACTATAAATTGCTGCAAAGGGTATTATGGCGGTTTTCTCGGGGGGTAGATTAGGGTGTTGGTGCTTTTTTGTGCGGGCTCTTTTTCCCTCTGCACGCGACGTCCGAACATGGTTTAGAGGTTAGAATACATGGGCTTGGGTATAGGGCTTCAAACTGGAAAAAGAAGCTTTGCAACATCATTAGCTTCATGCCAGTCTGCGCAAACTTTGCTGTTCCGGAGAGGATCTTCTCGTCTTGCGCAGCGCGGTTACATGGCAATAATGCGAGGGCGATTATCCGAAAGAAAGTGGACGCACCGAGCAGGCGCAACGGGATTGAGAGCGGGAGAGACAGCTCAAGACCGGGATGCACAGTCAGAAACAGATCGAGACGCAACGTAAGCCCGAAAGCATGAACTAGCCATAACCAGCCAGCATTGGGGAGGGACCAAATCAAATCGAGCGGCATTGAGCAGCTCGATCGTACACCCCGGCACCGCCTTTCGGATGGAATATGACGCTTGGCTCGGGAGCGCACTGCGGTTTAGGGTTGGACGTTTAAGGGATAATCCAGCCGAGACCTCCGATTCAGCAACTGGCTTCCCTCTGCCTCAGTGGGAAACGTACGTCAATTGGTCCTAATTGCCCTGAAAGTTGCATCGCCTCCGTGGCTGGCTTAGGACCAAGATCCAAAAAAGTACCCTGCATTGAGTAAGAGGCAGGCCTCAATAAAACAAAGCAAAGTCACAAGCAAAGCCATACAAGGCTTCAAATGCCACACACGAGCTCAAGCTTGCCGTTGGAAAGTCCGGATGCGAAACCAAGACTGCTCTGAAGCCTTCCAGGGCGGCTCGTTCAACAAGTGCCCAAGCTGGTTGTATGCATACGCCACATGCCCTAAACCCCCAAACCCCATGCCCTGAAGCCCCAAACCCCTATCACAGCCTTTATCGAACCCTCATCAACCCTTCAAAGCCCTCATACCAGCCCGATAAACCCCATCCCCCAACTCTTTCAGAAAGCCTTGTCGAACCCAATACGGCCCCCTGTTGAACCTCTAGAACCCCTAATATGAACACCCTCGAAGGCCCCTTGTAGAACCCCGAGAGCTCTTGGGAAAAAACCCAAACCCTAAACCCGAAACCCCTAAACCCTAAACCCTAAACTCTAAACCCCCCAACCCTAAACCC